ACCCTGGGAATGGTCCGGGGGGAAATCATCAGCCGGGGGAAATATTCCATGGGAAATAAAATCCATGGGAAATAATCCAGGGGAAATATTCCATGGGAAATGATCCATGGGAAATTATCTGTGGGAAATATAATTCATGGGAAATCTAATCCAGGGGAAGGAATCCATGGGAAATCATCCATGGGAAATATTCCATGGGAAATAAAATCCATGGGAAATATTCTGTGGGGAATTATCCATGGGAAATCTAATCCATAGGAAATCTAATCCATGGGAAAATTATCCATGGGAAATATTCCATGGGAAATATTCCATGGGAAATCATCCATGGGAAGTATTCTATGGGAAATATTCCATGGGAAATCTAATCCTTGGGAAATAAAATCCATGGGAAATATTCTGTGGGAAATGATCCATGGGAAATCTAATCCATGGGAATATTATCCATGGGAAATATTCCATGGGAAATGATCCATGGGAAATAAAATCCATGGGAAATATTCCGTGGGGAATTATCCATGGGAAATGATCCATGGGAAATTATCTGTGGGAAATATAATTCATGGGAAATCTAATCCAGGGGAAGGAATCCCTGGGAAATATTCCATGGGAAATCTAATCCATGGGAAATGATCCATGGGAAATCTAATCCATGGGAAATTATCCATGGGAAATATTCCATGGGAAATATTCCATGAGAAATCATCCATGGGAAGTATTCCATGGGAAATCATCCATGGGAAATATTCCTTGGGAAATAAAATCCATGGGAAATATTCCATGGGAAATGATCCATGGGAAATCCAATCCATAGGAAATCTAATCCATGGGAAATATTCCATGGGAAATATTCCATGGGAGATGATCCATGGGAAATAAAATCCATGGGAAATATTCCGTGGGAAATTATCCATGGGAAATCTAATCCATGAATATGGAAAAATGGAAAATCCCAGAAATGGGAAATCCCTGGGAGCCAGGAATGGGATCCATGGGATTTCTGGGAATGGCATCCCTGGGATCCAGGGAAGAGGGAAATGGGATTCATGGGAATGGGGTTGGATCGATGCGATGGGGATGGGATTTGGGGGAATGGGGTCCAGGGAATGGAGATAGGATCCCTCAGAGTGGGATTTCTGGGAATGGGAACTGTGGGAATGGGATTGGATTGATGGGGTGGGAATGGGATCTGTGGGAATGGGAACAGGAATGGGATTGATGGGAATGGGATTGATGGGATGGGAATGGGATCTGTTCCCATGAATCCAACCCCGCCATTCCCCTGGGAAAGGGGATCCATGGGAATGGGAGTGGGGACAGGAATGGGATGGGATCCATTCCCAGGGGTCCCCCCGCCATTCCCAAGGATCCAACCCCCATTCCCGGTATCCCTGCTCCCATTCCCAGTGTTTCCACCCTCATTCCCGGTGTCCATCCCCAGGATCCCTGCCCCCATTCCCGCCCTCATTCCCGGTGTTCCCACCCCCATTCCCGGTGTTGGGTCCTGCCCCCATTCCCAGTATTCCCAGTGTGGGTTCCCGCCCCCATTCCTGGTGTTCCTGGTGTGGGTTCCCGCTCCCATTTCCGGTGTTCCCAGTGTGGGTTCCCACCCCCATTCCCAGTGTCAGTTCCCGGTGTTCCTGCTCCCATTCCTGGTGTTCCCGGTATGGATTCCCGCCCCAATTCCCGGTGTACCCGGTATGGATTCCCGCCCCCATTCCCGGTGTACCCGGTGTGGGTTCCCGGTGTTCCCTCCCCCATTCCCAGTGTCAGTTCCCGGTGTTCCCACCCCCATTCCCGGTGTTGGGTCCTGCCCCCATTCCCACTATTCCCAGTGTGGGTTCCCGCCCCCATTCCTGGTGTTCCTGGTGTGGGTTCCCGCTCCCATTTCCGGTGTTCCTGGTGTGGGTTCCCACCCCCATTCCCGGTGTTCCCACCCCCATTTCCAGTGTCAGTTCCCGGTGTTCCTGCCCCCATTCCTGGTGTTCCCGGTATGGATTCCCGCCCCCATTCCCGGTGTACCCGGTGTGGGTTCCTGCTGTTCACGCCCCCATTCCCGATATTCCCGGGGTGTGTTCCCGCCCCCATTCCCGGTATTCCCGCTGTTCCCGCACCGACGACGTTGGGGTGCCGCAGGTTGCGCAAGGTCTGGGCCTCGTTCC